TTATATACTTAGTTTGTGATATATTTTTTTAAAGCTATATATGTGTTAGTATTCGTTTATATATGTATGTATACATCTTTTTGTGTATATTTATATATTTGACTATTGCTATATTACAAAACTGTAATCTTTGGCAAAATAAATGATATCTATCTATCTATCTATCTATCTATTACCAATACTCAATTGAGGATTTATGAATTATTGAATAGCTAATATTTCTGGACTTCCTTATCGTATTTCAATACTGTGCTATGGTCTGCCCTCACTTACAAAATCGTTGCGTCAGTTTTTTGCTGCACCTTAAAATCGCCCAAAAAATTCTTAAGAAATATGAAATTGACGTACTTGAGTGATGATTCTATTTAAGAAATGAAAAAAAAAATAATCCACTCCTATATTATAACTACTCTCAGTGACGTATCCAAGATATTGATCAGTGAGGGCTATTGGAAATGAAAATTCAGGAGGATGCAAGATATTGTAGATGTTATCTGGTATGTATGTGTTTATTTATCATGGTCGATGAACGGATGAATTGTGACGAAAATTGGATATACATTCGAAATGTGTTTTCTTAAACATGTCTTGGAAAGGATATAATTATCCCTTTCCCTTTTACCCTTTATATAATTCAATCAATTCAAGATAATGATCAGTGATGGGGGCTATTGAAAATGAGAATTCAGGAGGATGCAAGATATTGGAGATGTTATCTGGTATGTATGTGTTTATTTATCATGATCGATGAAAGAATGAATTGTGACGAAAATTAGATATACATTCGAAATGTGTTTTCTTAGACATGTCTTGGGAACGATATAATTATCCCCTTTACCCTTCATATAATTCAATCAATTCTGCATCTCCATTATACTAACGGGATTCCAATGGTGAGAGAGAACTGAAAAGCGTATAAGTGGTGAAATTACGCTGAAAAAGTGAACTTTAAAATTATAACTACTCTCAGTGACGTATCCAAGATATTGATCAGTGGGGGCTATTGGAAATGAAAATTCAGGAGGATGCAAGATATTGAAGATCAGGGACGCGCCTATACAGTGGCAACTGCGTGCACCGCACACGGGCGGCCACCCTCAGGGGCGGCTAATCACGAGATACTAAATACTTCGTTATCTTGAACATAATATTTCTCTCTGTAGGCTATGAAAATCCTCCTAATGAGATTTCAATCCCATTCAGTACATCAACACCACTACATAGAAAAAAAACGACAATAACGGCACGATTTTTCGCGATATAGGCACGATTTTTCGCGATATACTACCATCGCTTCGCATTCGCATAAACTACAGAAGATAAACTATTCCAGTAATCTTTGGCATTAGCTGAGTATTGAATGCCGTCGCGGGAATTTTTAGCCACTCAATTGTATGGAAATTTTGTCTTTGCGATATCGCATTAGGCCTTTTCGGCATCAAACTAAGAACATTTTTAATGCACTTGGGAAAGTATCTCAAGATAGTTTCGATTTGTCGACTAAACACAAAATATCATCATTGCCTAGCAAAATCAAAAATATTCGATTCATCTGTTCCATAGTGATATGGCATGAAATTTTGTTTAAAATCAACATCTGTAGCAAATTCTTTCGATGTTCTACACTCAATATTGAAGTATGTCTTGATCAATTGAATAATTTGGGATTTTTTTTTTGCTGCATTCAGATCCGATGAAAACTATTCAAAAATTTTGAAAAATTCTCGGACAATAGCTGATAATTCAGATTTCGAAACAGACTTTCCAGAATTGTCTAGACCAACAGCACGCCAATTTTAGATACATTTTTTTATGCCATCACCGACCAAATAACATGTTCCCTCAATGAGAGATTCGAGTCTCTCGAAAATTATAATGAATGTTTTGGATTTCTTCACTTAGCTTTTGGTAAGGACTTTGATGAAACAAGTTTACTCGAAAGTTGTGAAAATTTGCAAAAAAAGTGATCCACAACATTTTACATTATATACACTTTATTGAATTTACCCGTGTCAGTTGCCAGTGGAAAAAGGTCATTTCTTTAAGTTGGAGATAATAAAAAACTATTGGAGGTCTAAAATCAGCCAGAAAAGATTGATTGACCTCCATTCAATATCCATCGAATCTGAATTATTATTAACAATTGATATTGACATGCTCATCGAAGAATTTGCTCAGCGGAAAGCGAGAAAAATAATATTTTCTTAATGATTTTTACTGTGATATTATCGCCCCTCCATGTGTTATTTTCAAAGTATTACCTGTGAACCTCGTTAATGAAACAATGTTCAATTTTGTATGAATTTCACTATTCGTAAATTATTTGTTATGTTACTTATGTTTATTTATATTATGTTATGTTCCGTGAATGAAATCATCTCTTGAGACATCTTAAAACGAGTTATAGATATATTATTTGTTACTTTCAGTTTTCAAAATATATCAGTTTTCAAAATTCGTTTCATTTTCAATTTTTTCGAGGGCGGGCCAGAACATATTGCACACGGGCGGCGAAGTGTCTAGGCGCGCCCCTGTTGAAGATGTTATCTGGTATGTATGTGTTTATTTATCATGATCGATGAACGAATTGTGACGAAAATTGGATAAACATTACCCCAACCTACTTGTACTTGTAGCCATCATGTTATTTACACAGTATTTATTTTCCCGGTAGTAATTTCTGCAACCACAGTTTGATCATAAGTGCATGTGGAGTAGTAAATCACCCGTAACAGTCTGGTGCATACAGCGGCCGTATTATAACAGCGGCCATCGTATGGCGAACCGCCAGTTTCCTTAATTATCTTGGAATGGTTTTTCAGTGAAACTTAGGCAGGAAATATCTGCCCAGCCTATATTTATCTATGCGGAATTCTCTACTAATTGCAATTACAAAAAGGGTTATATGTATACGTGGTGTAAGAGGTTGAAACCGAGACGAAATCATTGCCATAAGTATTTTGATGCATACTTATTGTGAATTATGTATTTCTAGTGTATATTGAAATAGTTGCTATATAGATTGAAAATAAAATTACTGGAATATAGGTTTTTCAAGCCAGTCGACCAGATATACCCGCCGATTGATAATCAATGGATTCCACTGGATCGCTCAACTCTACATTGATTTGTAGCCAGAGCGTATATCTATGCTGCTATGCACGCTATCAGTACAAAAATTTTAGTTAGGATGTGGCAAACAGGCTGCAGAAAGAAGAATAAGGTCCATTTGATTGCGAGATTGTTATGAAATCAAATCAAATATGCCAGCATTTTTTCATATATCGGGTGGTCACAAAAAAAACGGAAGTTTTTATTTTCCTCGTGGTTTCATTATTTCTCAACCGAATTCGAATTTCTTGGCGTCGTTTCATAGCTGAAGGGCTATAGTATACAGTGGAATATTTGAAAATTCCATAATGAACAAAAACAAAATGGCGGATTCTACCAAAGTATTGTCATTTACAAAAACCGCTGGAGAAAAAGAAAATCAAAATTTTTCCAACCTGTACCGATGTCATCTTAGGCTATTCATTTCTGAAGAGAATGAGTACTCGAACATCGAAATCGAACAAATAGTCCAGTAGATACACTCATTTCTTTGCAATTTGTTATGGAGTGAATGTGCGAATCTCGTATAAACGATTATTATTATTTTGCTTCAGGCTTCATGAAAATTCAATCGAATTTGGATTTCTCAAAGTTATTTGAAAGATAAAGAACTGTAGAACACAATGGAACATTTGGAAATCTAATAATTGAAAGAATTAAAATGGTGGAGATTCCAGAATTTTTGTGATTTTCAAAAATCTCTGGCGAATAAAAAAAATTGTATTCTTCCAATCAGGACCGACACAATTTTAGATCGTTGATTTCTGTAAAGAATGAGCACTCGAACATCTGAATCGAACAATTAGTCCAGGAGAAACACGTTCTTTTTGGAAAAGTGTTATGGAGTGAAATCCAAATTCGATCGAATTCTGATAAAGCCAGAAGCGAACTAAAAATAATTCTTATCACGGGATTGGCTCCAATCTCCATAACACTTTGCCAAAAAAAAACGTGTTTCTCCTGGACTAATTGTTCGATTCAGATGTTCTAGTGCTCACTCTTTTTAGAAATCAATGATCTAAAATTGTATCGGTCCTGATTGGAAGAATAAACATTTTTTCATTCGTTAGAGATTTTTGAAAATCACAAAAATTCTGGAATCTAAGAAATCTAAGAAATCCAAATTCGATTGAATTTTCATGAAGCCTGAAGCAAAATAATAATAATCGTTTATACGAGATTCGCACATTCACTACATAACAAATTGCAAAAAAAAGAGTGTATCTACTGGACTATTCTTTCGATTTCGATGTTCGAGTACTCATTCTCTTCAGAAATGAATAGCCTAAGATGACATCGATACAGGTTGGAAAAAATTTGATTTTCTTTCTCTCCAGCGGTTTTTGTAAATGACAATATTTTGGTAGAATCCTCCATTTTGTTTTTGTTCATTATGGAATTTTCAAATATTCCACTGTATACTATAGCCCTTCAGCTATGAAACGACGCCAAGAAATTCGAATTCGGTTGAGAAATGATGAAACCACGAGGAAAATGAAAACTTCCGTTTTTTTGTGACCACCCGATATATATGTTTACATAGGTATATTTCCTGTCTCTTAGTTGAAGTACTCACTGTACTAATACCTTGAGAAAGACAAGCTCGTAACTGGAATAATCAGTTACCTTCCTCAATGAATATTCGTAGCAAATTGTGGTGGAAATATGAAGTCCTTTTCTGGATTGAATATTTTCTATCCAATCTCGAACAGATGAGACTGATTTCAAGCAGATGTGCGAGAGAGAATAATAGAAGAGCCATCAGAGATAATCAGGTGACTCTCAAGGCCATAGGAGGTCAGGAAGTTACGTCTGAACTGGTATGAATTTGCAAAGGAGAACTGAGAACACTGGCAGAAAGAACAGAGTAAAATTGATGGTGGTTCCAGGATATCAGAGAATAGCAGCTCGGATAGCAGGTAATGGAAAAGCGAACGAACTCGTTAGGAGAGGACCAGGAAATGGCGGAGTAAAACTGATCGTGGTGCCAGGACATAAAGGGATAGCAGCTCAGATAGCAGGTAATGGAAAAGCGGACGAATTCGTTAGGAGATGACCAGAAAATTGCCGAGTAAAACTGATTGTGGTGTCAGTACATCAGAGGATCGCAGCTCGGACAGCAGGTAATGGAAAAGCGGACGAACTCGTTATATATAAGAGGACCAGGAAATTGCCCGGACTCAGGACACACGCTACTAATGCTAAAACGCACAGCGCACGAGCGTCTGTAAGAGACTGGATTCTGGAAAAACAATCCAATAGGAGAACGTTCCAGGAAACCCACACGGGGTAGTTTTTTGTATCCAACTAGGAAAAAGCCAAACAATCAAAGTGGAATGCAATGGTTACAAATAGAGAGAAACTCAAAGTCATTACCACAATAGTTCATAAAATGAACGAAAATGGCAGATAACGAGAGAAAAAAACTACTTTCCTGGCTATATGCCACGCAGAACATTGGATTACATCCTCCCGAAATCTATGCAATAATTTATTTGTATAGATGAATAAAATCGCAAGTGTTTTCTTCCTAAACGCCGAGCTTCGCCTAAGTGGTTCAGGAACGCGTGACTACCTGCAGATCGGTTTCGAGCTGTTGGCTATCATCGGTTAGTTATTTGTATGCCTATAGGCCGTGAAATACCTTTTTGGCGTGGTGAAAGGAAACTTATTGCCGAGGCCGTTTCCAGTCGAGGCAAGATAACCATGAGGTCGCCACTAGTTCTGTGCAAACCGAGGTGCAAACGTTCAAATTATTGAACTAGATAACTCAACAAATAAATAATACTATAACCTTGCTATGGTCATAGTTTGGAAATGTCAAATTCGGAAGTGGGCTTTGGGTTTGGCGGCCGTTGCTATGTGTGACGGCTGCAAACTCAAACTTTGCGTACTGTGTAGAGCAAGTACTCTCTTCGCGTACGATTGCACGAAAAGGATTATATCATAGTACTGTGTCACAAAATAACTGCGGAACTGCTATTCCTAGCAGGGGGCAACTAAAAGTCATAACAAGGCTCCTGACTGGCCACATTAGCTGAAGACCCTGTGGTAAGGCTTGGTAAACAGTGATGTGCTATGGATGGCTATGGGGTATTGGGTCGTATAGGGGAATGTTGATCTGAATCCGCCTATTTTGAGGTCCAGTGCATCCTGTCGAGTTTCATGTAGTTCATTCTTGGACAACCCTGGTTCATTTACTTCTTCAAACAAGGAGGGATATCATGGGGGGCAACGTGTTCATAATGTTAGAACATGTATAAAACTATCACAATATTGCAATCAAGATGTGTTTTTCTGTGACATGAAAAGGACTTGGTATATGGACCGTTGATTAGGATAATGTTATCAAATATACAACCAACTGAGGTGATCCATCTTACAGTGGAGTGTAGGCAATAGGACAGGAGAAATTCATACAGTCTACTCCACCAAAACGATACTTTAATGTAATATCAATTCAAAGGGGGGGGGGGGACATGTTTCGAAGCTTCAAAGCTTCATCATCAGCTTTAATAGTTACATAGGAGCACTGAAGAGAAAAAGGTGAAATGTCAGACTAAATACCTCAACAACGATAGTTCTACTAAAAACTCACCTGTTGTGGAGGAAAAAAGTTGTGTTTACATATTAATTATAACCAAAAGAGTAGTGAAGAATAAATTAAGTACTGTTACATGGAAAAAAGTTTTTTAGGGCCGCAAACTGCGGAACACCTTTGTTAAGGTACGGTGAAGTGAAACATCGTAGTAAGGTTAACAATCCAAAACTCTAAATTAAGTAATCATCTAAACATGCCGAAGGTTAGATGAGAAATGAGGAGTCAATCTGTCAAATATGAAATTGAATCTCAGAACAATTCAGAATTAAATACAGAACAGAAGAGGAATGGCATTGACACGAAGTGACAGAGAGTGACATGGGACATCAAATAGTGAACAGAAATGTGTAGACAATGAAAAGGCATAGAGGCATATACGCTGTTCTAGTTGTGAAACAATCAAGTCTTAGCTCACTTCTGGTATAAGCAGACGTCCTGGGATTTCGCAGATAGTTTAGCTGAAGATCCTCGTGAAGATCTTTTTAGCCATCCGCCGATACCCTCAACTTTCAGAAGAGTTGTTCAGTTCAATCTTCCAATTTGATTAACCAAATGGTTTTCATCCTCTATAGAGAGAACCGTGTTATAATATTGAAAATATGATTATAGAATAATATAAGGCCATACACACACATTGGCATAGAAACCTGATAAATCTTCTGAATGTTTTCTTTATAATGCCTGGAATGCCCAGAGGAAAAATATGTAGGAAGCCAAAAATCCATCAATCGAAAAACAAAAATATATTATGTTATTTTATCTACTCACTGCAACGAAAGTAAGCGTTTGCTCCCTCATTTAAGGACACAGACATGTCAATTTACTCCCACGGGAGGAAAAAATATTTTCTTCTGTGGGAGGAGAATAAATAAGCTTTAGCTTGCTTCCTTGGTTGAGACATAGATCTTGAGATATACGTATAAGATCTTTACTACCCAAGTACATAATCAGGGTCTCCATCACTACTATATAAAACAAATAACAATTTCACTTTTGAACTTCAATGATCTCAAACACTTCCTCATATTCCAAACTTACTCAATCGGAACTTTAAATAAAATCCAATTACACAACAAACAAATTCAATGTGTCAGAAGTGTCGTTCGTTCAGATTCGAATACTGTCTGTACTGTAACCTTTGATCATGTCACAAAGAAGAGATACTCAAAGTCATCACCACAATAGTTCATAAAATGAATGAAAATGGTAGATAACGAGAGGAAAACAACTACTTTCCTGGCTATATACCACGCAGAATATTGGATTACATCCTCCCGAAATGTATGCAATAAATTAGTATAGACGAATAAAAGCGCAAGTATTTCCTTCCTAAACTCTGAGCTGTGCTTAAGTGGTTCAGGAACGCGTGCCTACCTGCAGACCGGTTTCGAGCTGTTGGCTCTCATCAGTGCAGGACTGTCCCAGATAGCATTCTAGTTGCTTAGATTATAACACATTAATTTTGCTCGAGACTCGGGAGACAATTTTAAGAACGACGCTCTGGCAAATATAATAATATGCGTTCGTGGATAAAATCATGTATAAAATCGGATGGAAATGGATACCTTTGCCTTCTTGATATATAAATAGCTATTATGTTATTCTGATGTCTTCTGACTTCCGCGTGTAGCTTCTCTCTTTTATTCTGAGATGTTCTGAGAGAAGTGCGGCTTGATAAATATAAATCATATTGTCATCATTATTCAACTTCCCCTTGAAACCGTCATCAGGCCTAGATATTTATGTAGCACATCACAAAAGCAATAATAAATTGCATTTCGGGTAGAATTTATTGATGGACTTTGGCGGTCATTAATATCGTAGAGAGGAACGCCCATTGCTGACAGGGATTCTGCATGGAGACATGGCTCAATAAAAAAGTAGAATAATTTTGGAGATGCAGTCAATTGAGGGTTGTTAAATAAAATGTTCTCTGAACATTACAGGATATCCCTTTTCGTGGGAACCAGAACATAAAAAAAAATATGCCAAACATAATAGATATTTTGATTTTCTCCTTCAAGGCTGAAACAGTTATTTACTCGGTTATTTATATACCAAGAGTGTGGACATCAGTGTGTCACCAACCCTCCTAATTTTTTTGGTAGCTGAACATTTTCCCTTCAGTGGGTCTGAAACGGTCTGAAACTATTATCTGGCGTAAATCAGAATCGATACTGTTCAGTTGATATAGAAAGAAAATGGTATTAACTACCAGAAACTGGACATGAAAATGAAAATACATCCTGTAACTCATTATTATGCCAACCGAAACGTCTGTCACCGAGAAGTTTCAAAACTGATCTGAAGACAATTTGAAAGAATAATATTTTCCATCGTTTATATTGAAAAGGGAAGTAGATTCGTTCCCAAAACACCCCAAAGATGAGTAAAAATTCGATATTTTTCAATTCATCTACAGTGTATCCACCTTAAGGACTTACCACCCCTTTAAAATCGTTATTTTCTGACCAAATCAAAAAACCTTTTTTTGTTGTATAGGTATTTGAAATGCCCATCCAACGAGAGAGTGATCTAATTCTTGCACTGTTATCGTGGCCAACTGCGACAAATTTCAATAACACATATTCCAGAAAGTACTATTAGGGATTTTTTTTCCACGAAACTTGATGATGGATTCTGAATCACTACCACTAGAAATATACCTGTACCGATTTTCAGCATCATAAACCACAGGATGTCCGAAAAAACGAATCATCATTTTCTTCAAATAGGTGATCAGCAAATGTAGTTCTGTGGTTTTTCTAGAAAGAAATAATCACAAATTATGATTGAGGATTATTTTCAATATACCTGTATCAATTTTCGTCATTTGAATATACAATGTGTCTGAGAGAAAAATTAAAAAGGATAGGTAAGCAATATCATCCTGATAATTCTTCACTCAAAATAAAAAGATGAATCAGGATCATTTGGAACATACCTGTACTGATTTTCATCATCATTAAACACAGGGTGTTCGAAAACTCAAATTAATATTTTTTTTTGAGTTGAAAAGATATTGCCTTCTTTTTCTTTTTAATTGTTTTCTCATACACATCGTATTTTTGAATGATGAAAATCGGTACAAATATGTTCAAAGTGATTCTCAATAATAATGTGTCATCAATTCTTCTCAAAAATACCACAATAATACATTTTCTGATCACCTATTAAAAAAAAGCATAATTCGTTTTTTCGGACACCCTGTGTTTTATGATGATCAAAATCAGTAGAGGTGTATTTCGAGTGATCGTGATTCAGAATTCATCATTGTTTTTTGTGAAAAAAAATCCCTAATAGTACTTTCTCAAATATGGGTCAATAAAGTTGGTCGCAGTTGGCCACGATTACAGTTCATGAGTAAAATCACTCACTCTCTTGTTGGATGGACATTTCAAATACCTATCCAACAAAAAAAAGTTTTTCGAAATCGGTCAGATAATAACAATTTT